AACACGCTATCTTTTGGCGCAGTTCACGGGCCAAAATTTGCTTTATAAAAGTTCAACGTTTTTTCTTTTACTACTGACCGTAATCGGCTGCGCGCTTCCCTTCAGCCAGAACCTAACTCCTGAAGAACAGGTCGCGGTCGTCACAACCGACACAGGCACATTTGTGCTTGAGTTCTACCCCGATGCTGCCCCCGTGGCAGTGGATAATTTCATCAAACTGATTAACCAGAAGTTTTACGACGGCTTAACATTTCATCGAAAAGTTGATGCACCCGGTTTGAATATCATTCAGGGCGGGTGTCCAGAAGGCGATGGAACAGGTGGTCCCGGTTGGACTATTGTTGACGAGCACACAAATCCGAACCAACGTCCACATGTCAGAGGTACATTGGCAATGGCTCGGACCTCCGCGCCGGACTCATCCGGGAGCCAATTCTACATCTGCTTGAAACCCCAACCCCATCTTGACGGAGACTACACTACCTTCGGTGGTGTAATTCAAGGGATGGATGTCGTCGATCAGTTATCGATGGGCGATGTCATGACAAAAATCCGATTGGAGGCGAAGTCAAAATATGTTAAGGCAACAGCAGAGTAAGCAACATCGGCAATTCGCATCCGCAGCACTCCTCGTTTTAGCGACGCTATTCGCTACTTTCGTGCTGAGTTGCGCACAAGAAGATAAGCCGGCACCTGTCCCGCGCGCGCGTCGCGCCGGCACAGGCACAGCGACAACTACAGAGAAACCACAGATCGATCCTGCAACAGTGGTCGCAGTCGTTGAAACGGCAAAGGGGACTATTGAATTTGAATTCCTTGCAGCCGAAGCACCGGAAACTTCCAAGAATTTCATCAAAAACGCGCGGGTGATGTATTACAAGGGTGAGAAGTTTAATCGGGCAGAAGAACTGCTCATCCAAGCAGGCTCGAGGCTTGCCGCTGGAGATACACTCCCCATTGAAAACGGTTCGCAAGAGATGTCGCGAGGCGTTGTCGCTATGGCAAAAGAGGAGGCGCAAGTGTTTCGTATGCCTCCGAATTCTTTATCTGCCGAGGTGACACCATCCTTGACAGTGATTACACCATTTTCGGAAACGTTATCAGTGGAATGGACGTGGTTGACAGCATTGTCGTCGACGATGCAATTACGAACATCACCATCCGAGACAAGGAATAGCAGTAACAATCTAACGGTTGGTGCATAACGAATCGTTTTAATGGCTGTCGGAGGAACGCCTATCAGTTTCCATCGGTTTTCGTCGGAAACCTGCTTCGCAGTGAGAATAAAGAGGTTCTCTTTCTGACCGCTAACTGCTGACCACTGATGGCTATTTTGGACTTTAATCATAAAAGAAGTTAAGAGTTATTAGTTGTCAGTAACATTCCATGAAAGGTTACTGACACCTATTAACTGACAACTGACAACTCTTAAAAATGGAGGTATACATGGCATTAACAGTTATCCGCACGGCCCGCCCAAGTCCCGCTTGGCAGGAAAGTTACGTGCGTGTGGAAAAAGGGCAACGACTCATTATTGATGCGGAGGGCGCATGGTCACCGGATTTGCAAAATCGGACCGGATGGTGCGGTGCGGACGGTGTTCCCAAGACACCGGGTTCCAACGATTACCTACTTCCGGGCACAAACATCGGCGCACTCATCGCTAAAATCGGAAATGTCGTCTTCGCTGTTGGCTCACGCTACGACAATCCGGCACCCGCTGACGGTGTTATTTTCCTCGCAATGAACGAAAGTCCAAACAACAATAACCAAGCAGGAAGTTTACTCGCACAAATCATCATCTTTGATGATGAATAGGGAAACTCTCGTACAAACATCTACTGCCTATACCGGGCGAATCAGAATCAGGAGCAATCTATGGAAGAAACTACGGCTCAGGAGGAAGTTCACCAACTGCCCCCTGTCGATTTTATTGGCTATCTTACTAACCTTGTAGAAACAGCACGGCTCTACTTAGAGGGGATCCCGAACCCCGAAACGGACGAGATAGTTATAAACCTCCCGCTCGTGAAACATATTATTGATACTATTGAGATGCTTGAGGAAAAGACGAAGGGAAATCTCACTGCCCCAGAAGCCAACTTCTTGACAAATACCCTTTATGAACTCAGAATGGGCTACGTCCGTACCATCAGTAGACAGGAAACTGCCGCACAGCAAGAAGGACAAACTGAAGAAACCGAGGAAGAGGTTTCCACTGAAAATACTGAAAATCCCTCTTAATCGAAGGCTCAGCAATCACCGAAATAAACGATCTGCCATACAAGCCTCGACACTGTCGATTTTTATCGAAGCTCAATAGAACCGAACACCGAGGCCTCTTCGATATCGCACGGCATGATCCAAACCCTGCTCTCAAACGCAGTGTCAAAAAGCAGTATTAGAATTAACGTGAAAAGAGGAGAATGAACTATCAACGCAAGATCTTCATCGCTCTCACGCTGCTCATCGGTCTGCTCGTAACCGGAACCGTTGGTTACCTATTCCTCGAAAAGGATAACCAGTGGCGACTTCTCGATGCCATCTACATGACTGTCATCACCCTAACAACTGTCGGTTACAGCAACATGGGAATGAGCGATGCTGGACGAGTTTTTACCATGTTTCTGCTCATCGGCGGGTTCGGGGTGTTCACCTATAGTGTCACGATCGCCACCGCATTTCTGATTGAAGGACAACTACAAAGTTTTTTCCGACAACAAAAAATGATTCGAACTGTCGATAAATTATCAAACCATTATATCATCTGCGGACTCGGTGATACCGGTGTGCATGTGCTTGACGAGATGCTAAAGGCAGAAGTAGATTTCGTCGGTATTGAATTCGAGGAAGAACGACTCATCCATCTCTCTGACACACGAAACTTTCTGTACCTTCAAGGCGATGCAACCGACGACGAGTTGCTCCTGCGGGCAGGAATTGAGCGCGCCCAAGGACTCGTCACATGTCTCAGCCGTGACCAAGACAATCTGTTTGTTGTGATCTCCGCAAGAAAACTGAATCCTCATTTAAGGATAGCCTCTAAAGCCGTTGAAGACAATTCCCCCGGAAAACTCATCACCGCGGGGGCAGATGAGGTTGTCCTACCCGATCACATTGGCGGGCTCCGCCTCGCAACCGGGCTACTCCAGCCACAACTCGTAGGGTTTTTGGAAAATATGACCCAAAATCGACTGGACGCCCAGTTTAATGAATCCATTATTCAAGAAGGCGCACCTCTGGACGGGATTTCTCTCAGAGCCGCCAGCATTCACGAACAAAACTGGGTTAGTTGTCATCGCAATCCAAGATAGCGATGGAACATTTCTCTATAATCCCCCCGGAGATATGAAAATTACAGCCGGTGATGCCTTGTTAGTAATAGCCAACCAGAAGCAGTTACAAACATTGCACAAACTTACCGGAGATTCAAGTTAGAGAAAACAGGGTCATTTTGTTCTCCGATAAGAACGAATGTCGAATCGTAACAGACCTCTGTAGGAGTGACCTCCCAGTCGCGACTTTTCAAACAAAATAGCGAAAAAGCCGAAAACTAAATAGCACTAAGAGCAGGGCTATTCAGTTTTCGGTTCCGATCTTGGTTTTCGTTCACAGATGTTAAGGTTTTCGCGCAATATCGCGAGCACAGCTCGCTCCTACAGCGGAAAAACGTTCACGCATATAAAGTCAATATGTAAAACTAAATGACCCTGGCACTAAGAGGAAAAGCGTTGACCTGTTATCCTCCACTGTGATACAATGGGGTCAGATTTTACCGGGTGAGATTTGAATCTTGCCGCTGTAAAACACACGCTCACAAAACACAATATCGCAAATTGGAAGGAACATACATATGCTCGCAACAGTCCTAAGCAGCGCAATGCTGGGAATTGATGCTTATATCGTGAAAGTTGAAGTAGATGTTGCTGGTGGAATGCCATCCTTCAGTACTGTCGGCTTACCCGACAACGCCATCAAAGAGAGTCGGGATCGGGTTACCGCAGCCATTAAAAACTCCGGTTTCTACTTCCCGCCCACCCGAATCACGGCGAATTTAGCACCTGCAGATATCCGAAAAGCGGGATCGGCGTTTGACCTCCCCATCGCAATCGGTGTCATGGCAGCCACCAATCAGGTGAATCCCGCGAGGCTTGAAAACGCAATAATTTTAGGTGAACTCGCACTTGATGGAAGCATTCGCGGTATACAAGGCGGACTCCCTATCGCCATTGCCGCAAAAGAGAACGGCATCCAAGATCTCATTTTGCCTGCTGAAAACGCAAGGGAAGCAGCGATCGTAGAAGGTATGAACGTCTATCCGGTCGCAAACTTAACAGAGACCGTTGCATTCCTCAACGCCGATAAAGAGATCGCACCAGTACCGCGCACCCTCAGCACTGACGGACACAACGAGCATTCTGAAGCACATCTTGACCTACTCGACGTGAAAGGGCAGGAACATGCTAAGCGCGCCATCGAAGTCGCCGCTGCCGGCGGGCATAACCTCATCATGATCGGACCGCCCGGTTCTGGAAAGACCATGATAGCGAAGCGAATTCCGTCGATTCTGCCGAAACTCTCTATCGAGGAATCCTTAGAAACAACGAAAATCCAAAGTATTATCGGTATTTTGCCAAGCAATACACCTCTGGTCGTGACGCGCCCATACCGTTCACCACACCATACTATCTCTGACGCAGGTTTAATCGGCGGCGGAAAAGTACCACGTCCCGGTGAGGTGAGTCTTGCACACAACGGCGTGCTCTTTTTAGATGAACTCCCCGAATTCCGGCGAAATGTCCTTGAAGTCATGCGACAACCGCTTGAAGACCGGCAAGTGACCATCTCCCGCGCAGCAGCGTCACTCACTTATCCCGCGAACTTCATGCTCGTCGCCGCTATGAATCCTTGCCCTTGTGGATTTTTTAGCGACCCGAACCGAGATTGTAAGTGTACACCCAACCAGATTCAGAACTACGTCTCCCGTATCTCAGGACCGCTCTTAGATAGAATCGACATCCAAGTTGAAGTGCCAGCGGTGAAATATGCCGAACTTGCTAACGAAACAACCGGCGAACCTTCGGCACACGTCCAAGAACGAGTCGAAACGGCACGGCAAGCCCAACAGCAACGCTTCGCAGACACGGTAATACACGCCAATGCAAACATGGAATCTAAGCAGATACGAGAATATTGCAAAATTGATTCCCAAGCACAGGATCTCCTCCGGATCGCGATTAACCAATTAGGACTGAGCGCACGTGCCTACGACCGGATTTTGAAGGTAGCGCGCACCATCGCTGACTTAGACGGAAACCCGCATATAGAGACAGTTCATGTCTCTGAAGCCATACAATATCGGAGTCTCGACCGAAGTTTCTGGAAAAAGTAAACCTACAAAGAGAGGTATTCTTAAAATTAGCAAAAGCAAGCAGCAAGCCGACAACGGAGGCTTGCGGATTTCAAACAGGAATGGTGCATGCACAAAGCCATTTCTACTACGCTTGGCGACTAATTAAAAAAGAAAAATGCAACCTAATTTTATTATCTTCCTCACCGACGACCAAGGATACGGTGACCTGTCCTGCATGGGCGCGACCGATTTCAAAACGCCACACCTTGATAGAATGGCAGCAGACGGCGCACGCTTCACGGATTGGTACTCAAATTCACCCGTCTGTTCCCCTTCGCGCGCAGCATTACTGACAGGACAATATCCGTGCCACGCGGGGGTCCGTTCTATTTTATCAGGGCATCGCACCGCTACAGGGTTACCGACTTCTGTACCTTCGCTCGCAACAGCACTGAAGGCACACGATTATTACACGGCGATGTCTGGAAAATGGCATTTAGGACTCGCAGAGGGTTCACGTCCGGAACACCACGGGTTCGACGATTGGTTCGGATTCATGGCAGGATGCATCGACTTCTTCTCGCACATCTTCTACTGGGGCTTAGGACAGCCTGGCGTCGACCAGACGCATGACCTCTGGGAAAACGGCGAAGAGATCTATCGAAATGGTGAATATTTCACCGAACTTATAACCGAATACGCCATCAGATATATCCGAAAGTCTGTTGAACTCGGGAAACCTTTTTTCCTTTACGTCCCTTACAATGCACCGCATTATCCGATGCACGCGCCCCAGAAGTACGTAGACCGGTTCCCGAACCTGCCGTGGGACAGGCAGATTATGGCAGCGATGCTCAGTGCCGTTGACGATAGTGTCGGCGAAATTTTTGCCGAACTTGAGAGACTCGGACTCGCAGAAAACACCTTCTCCTATTTCCAAAGCGATAACGGTCCGTCACGCGAAACCCGAAATTGGTTAGATGGCACACAGGACCCATATTACGGCGGCACTGCGGGTAAACTGAAAGGACATAAATTTAGCCTCTACGAAGGCGGCATTCGTTCACCCGGAATTATGAATTGGCCCCAGCGAATTCCCGCAGGACAGGTAATCAACGAAGTCGGTGCCGCAATGGATGTGTTCCCGACCTTCCTCGCCGCAGCAGGGGAGAGCCATCTGCGTACGAACTTGATGGACTCGATGTCTTACCTATGGTGACAAACGGCGAACCCACACCACATCGCGAAATCTATTGGGAGATGGGTAAACAGACTGCCGTGCGCCGTGGTAATTGGAAATTGGTGCTCAACGGGCAATTGGTAGAGGGCGCGCCGCCAGAAGACGATGTACATCTCGCGAACCTCGATACCGACATGGGTGAAACGCAGAACCTGAAAGATGAACACCCAGAACTCACCACTGAATTGACAGGAGCAGCCCAAACGTGGCGCGAAGGCATTGAAACACACTGGGAAAATGAATGGGCCAACCCGAACGGAACAACCGGCTATGTCAAGAAATAGTAAAATGCTAACCGATATCCAAGATGCCTATGGGCACCTGCTTTCAGATTATCATAACGGTCAAGAAAACGTCGAAGTTGTGGAGAGAGAAGATGGATTCATTGATGTAAGCCGCCTGGGACCTTTCAACTATTTCGCTGAATATGAGGACTGGGCTGAACATCAAAGACTCGCAATAGCGCATGCCACAGGACGCGTCTTGGATATTGGCTGTGGCGTAGGACGGCACTGTCTCTATCTTCAAGAACAGGGACACGATGTTTTAGGAACGGACATCTCACCGTTAGCCATCCAGACGTGCCAAAGCCGCGGACTCAAAAATGCTGTTGTCGCACCCATAACGCAATTAAGCTCTAAAATCGGTACCTTTGACACGATTCTCATGATGGGACACAATTTCGGGCTCGTTGGAAGTTATAAAAGAGCAAAATGGCTACTGAAACGCTTCGCTGCCATGACAACAGATACCGCAAAAATTATCGCCGAAACAATGGACCCCTATCAAACAACAGAACCGGGGCACCTCGCTTATCATCAATTTAACCGAGATCGGGGACGAATGAGCGGGCAACTGCGACTGCGAATCCGTTACCGACAATATACTACACCATGGTTCGATTACCTGTTTGTTTCAAAGACGGAGATAGAGGACATCCTTGACGGAACAGCATGGCGGATCGAACGCTACATTGACGCAGCCGATACACCGACTTATGTCGCAATTCTATCCAAATGTATGCACTCCTGATCATAATAGTCTCGGTAGACGCGTCACTGGTAAGGTGTTCCTACTTGGGTGTTTCCCCAAGAAATCTCGCCCGTCAAAGTTATTTCTATTAGTGAGATTGGAAGCCTTGCCGAAGGACGAGATATGTCATGATACTTTTTAAATTTGCCTTTATTACGGACACACATCTGTATCTAAACGCGCCAAGAAATTTCGCAAGCGGACTCCAGCAACAAAAAAAGAGTCTACAACTTTACGAAAAGTTGGTTGAACAACTGAACGCGTTTGAACCTGCCCTTGTGATTCATGGAGGGGATGTTGTGTGTGGTGGTCAAAGTTTCGGCATGTCCGCAGAAGAATACGAAACCACACTTGATGGTGCCCAACAACTCGGACAACGCATCAATGCGCCGTGCTATTACATCCCCGGCAACCACGATTTGCATCCGGAAACCGGTTCCAAAGACGATTACTTGGCACGCTTCAGCACCAACGGCATGGGATCTATCAGTTTTGTGCGCGAAAATATCCGGTTTATCCTTCTCGATTCGCAGGAGGTTCCCGAAGACCTTACACACGGGTATATCAGCACTAACCAACTGGCGTGGGCAGAGCGCGAATTGAAAAGGGCACGTGATTACAACCAAGAGGTTTTCATCTTTTTACATCAACTCCCGTTTCCGAATGTCGAATTCCAAGGGATTGGTTCAAGAGTTGTGAACTCCGCGGAGGTTCTCGAAATTACCGCCCCCTTTGAAAGACAGATTTTGGCATTCTTTTCTGGACATCTGCATCTCAATCGCGTTTTCAGAGAACAGGGTATGTTGTGTATCGTCTCCTCTGGCATTATCTGTTATCCGATGATGTGGCGACAGGTCCTGGTATATCCTGACAGAGTTGACGTGAAGTCCGTGCCGGTCGACTTACCGGATGTCCTCGCTGAATCAGAAGCAGTCAATCCAGATAACAATCCTTATCTATTGGGCAGAGACCGAGATCTAAACTTCAGTATCCCCGTTCTTTACGACGCTTCTGAACTGCTTTTGAAAGTTTGCACTGACTAAGGTTACCAAGTGTACACAAGTTTGAAGGTTCAGAGACTTACACGACACGTTTTCTCACCCCAGATGAGATAAAAAATAAACTGGGTAAAGTTACGCCAGGTCCGGTCTAGGTGCTGCTTCTACCCACGGGTCCGACAAGAAACGAAATACCCGATTAAATCTTACCTTCATGCGGGGGTATTGCTCGCAGTGAGAATAGAAAGGGCGTATCCTTTAAGCGACTGCCTCCAGCGAGTGCTATTGCTTCGCGTGAAATAATAGGGGGCAACTTGGATTAAAGTTACAAGTCATAGTTTGGTCATTTCCCTTCACCAGCATAATTTAGAACACTTATACGGTTAGACTTACCCAAAAACGGGTCCCGCCCGGTACGGGCGAGTACTCGCCCTACAGGTAGGCGTGAAACCGTAGGGACTGGGTTACCCAGCCCCTACAAAACGATGACGCAAACTGCATAGATTAAAAATGATTGAAGTTCAAAATATCACCAAAAACTACGGTCCCTTTCAGGCACTCAAGGACATCTCCTTCCAAGTAGACAAGGGACAAATTGTCGGCTTCCTCGGTCCGAATGGAGCCGGAAAGACAACGACAATGCGAATCCTCACCTGTTTTATGCCGGCGAGTAGCGGACGCGTTACCGTCGCCGGATATGATGTTTTCAAAGAATCGCGAGAGGTTCGCAAACGCATCGGTTACCATCCCCCGAAAACGTGCCACTCTATCCGGAAATGACGGTGACGAAGTATCTGGCGTACATGGCAAAGATCCGCAGTGTCCGCGCAATAGCATCAAAGGGCACCTCGATAACGCCGTCGAGCATGTGGTCTCACCGAACGCCGACATCAGATCATCGGACAACTATCGCGTGGTTTCCGACACGCGTCGGCTTAGCACAAGCACTCATTCACGAGCCTGACGTTTTTAATTCTCGATGAACCCACATCGGATTAGATCCACGGCAGATTGTCGAAATTCGAGAATTAATCAAAGCACTCGGCAAGGAACGAATATTCTGTTCAGCACCCACATCTTACCCGAGCCAGTCTCACATGCGAACGATTGATTACTCATCACCGCGGTAAATCACAGGGGATGTTCTGTTGAAAGATGGACGCGCTGTCGCCAGACAGAGCGATGATCTACCAGTAATACAGAGAACTTGCAAGTTGCCTCCTCATTTTTGGCACTTGAGTAGCAGGCGCACCAGCAACGATAATCACCGCACTTCACGACATATCAACGTGATCAAGTCGAGCTGATCGATACCGATACGAGATGACACGGCGACGTTCCACCTCCACTATACACTGGCGACCGAATCCGTTCAGAAGTGGCAGCAACCATCGTCAACGCGGTGGCGACTGCTTGAAATGCACACGACCGAATGTCACTTGAGGAACTGTTCCTGTCCTTGACGGTATAAAGCGTCCTTTCCGTTACAAAACCAGTTTATTAACAAGGATAATAAGGAGATTGTGAAATGGATAACTTCTGTAAAAAGATTTGTACTCCGCGATCGCTATTCCTTTTTGATGGAATATGCTGTTTTGCAATCGGAGCAGGAATAGGTGTGAGTTGGACAAAATCCAAGGTGACTCCAGTCGTTATCGTTGAACCCGACATTGGAGGTTTCAAACCAATGGGAAGCAGTTCAATTGGAAACAGATGGTCTAAGGTACAAGTAAGCGTCCTTTGGTAAGCCAGCACTGGTGGTTTTGTGCCCTACGAGGGGACTATCATAAACAACCAGTGGACAAAGAAAGATGTGATCCCCGTAATGCTTGTCGAACCCGAGACCTCGAAATTTATCCCATTACGTGCTATCACCTCCGCAGGCAAGTCAATAGGTGGAGGGCATCACGAACTTTCCTACGACTCCATCTGTCATGAAAGCAAAATCGATGGAATTTGAAGGATGGGATGGAGAAACTATTGTAAAACTGGCAAACGGACAGATCATGGCAACAACTGAGTATCACTATCACTAACGTGAGTTCGATCAAAAGGCACCTCTACTTGTACCGCAGGTGTTAGTTTGCGGCGGAATATGCACACCACACTAAAAGTTTGTGCTACATTATGTCTTTGACACGTCGAAAACGGCACCTTTAGCGGACGAAATGCTTAAGTCGACTGACGTATACCATTTCTGACTGAAAATCTGCTCATAGGATTGGTTAATGAAAAAACCAATTGTAGCGGCAAGGGGAGGAATAGGAGATCCCGTTATGCCTGTGCAGTTCTGTTCCTGTTTGATATAGTACAGTCCCAAAATTGTGCGACAGTTAGTCAGTGAACAACGACCCCACCGCCGCGGCGAGGATTGTATCCTCGCCTCTTTAGAGCGTCCAAGTATATAGG